AGACCCTACCTGCCACAGCGGCCTTACCTTGGCCACTTGCACCAAAACAGATAGTCGAATTTAGAGTTTCAAACCCCTATCTTCAACCCATGACACTCAGAAACTACTCGTTCACACTAAGATCAATTTCGGGAGTTCTACTCGCCTGAATTTGATTTCGTAAAGTCGTATGAATTCCTTAACGTCTTAGCTATCCACTCATGTAATCAAATTCATTATCAACTCTCTCACTCATTACTAGATTTCCCTAGACATCACTGACTCCGATTTCATCCAAATTGGACTAGGCTAGGAATTCTCAAGTTACTACCAAAAAAATTTCCGGTCCCAAATATTTTTCCCGATGTCTTTTCTATAACGACGGGAGAAGGTCGTTACAGCTGCAGTCACAGAGCATACTCAGATAAACCTTGACTCTAATATCAGTTTGTTGGGAAAACGCGGACTAACAAAAATATATATGGTTAAAATAATGAAATTAAATGGGAAAACAGTGATACCAAGAATTTTACATGGAAACATTTTTTAATAAGGTAAAAACCATGGGTTAAGAGGAGCAATTGATATTACTATAGAAAATAATTTTTACACTGTATAGTCACGATTATAATATTCAAAGTTACTACTACAGACTCAAAAGCAATAACACTCTTTTGATTTACCACCTTACTAAAATGTCGCTCACCCTCTATTTTTCTTCACATAAATAGTCTTGTATAGTCTATGGAATACCTCACTTTACTCTCAAATATTTTTTTTCCTCTCTATCTTGGTGTGTTTATGAAAGAGAAAGGTCTCTCTATTTATAGAGAAATTTCCAACCATTTGAGCAATTCAAAAAGGTTAGTTACTTGCATTTTTCAACTGCATAATGCACAATCCATTCAATATTTGCTGCCAATTATTCAATTCAACATTGACTACCATTGTTACTTTTTAACAATTCCTAGCAACAATTGAGTAGCAAAAGTAGACTATTAAAAACATGGGATGGACCCCATAGTAATACACCAGCAACAAACACATAATACGACATTCTTAGCTTCCTAACATGTCAAGAGGCACAACAAGTTATTAATCGATACATGAAATCCTAGAGAAATAAGACTATTGAAACAGAAACAAAGCTAAGCATATATCAATGAAGAGGAAACGAAATGCAAGTCTGAGGATGTTATGGACGGAAGAGGTTACCTCTTTGGGAGCAACAAACTTGAGACCAAACGAGCTGAGAAAAATATTTCAACCACCAACGAGTTTTGATCCGAGAAGCAAGAACAAAGCTGTGATGATTCTCCATCAATTTTCAACAACTTCCAATGGATTTCAAAGGATTTGGAGGCCAAGACAAGAAAGGTAGACGGCTAAAGTTGTGATGATTCTCGAGAGTTCTTGTAGGCAGAGGATAAGGGACAGAAGAGAGGACGTGGGCTACAGTTTAGGTTCATTGGATTTCGCTGGAGCTCGGGGTTTGGTTCACGCGTCTGGGCTTTGGGCATTGAGGAAGAAGACAAATTGGTGGGTTATCGCATTTGTACTGTGTTGTTGTACGCATCACTGGTTTGAATTGTTGTGTATTGGGTCTTTAGCAATTGGGTTGGTTGATATTGGAATTAAGAGTGGGCTGAGTTGTGGTTGGATTGCAATGTTGTTTACTGATGAGGAAAAACAAAAGAATTGGGATGCTGGAAAGAGTGAAGGAAAAAGGGCCCAAAATCTTGGCTTGAGAATTGGTTCAAGTTGGAGGCCAAAAGTGGTTAAAATATGCAACTGAAGAAATGGCCAATTAAAATTTCAATTACAACCAATTTGCATTACAAATTTGGCCAAATTGAATTTAACTATTGAATTGGGTTAAAACTTAAATACGACGAATTAATATATTTAACTAGTGAGCTTTTTAATCTCAATCAAATAAAATCATTAACTTAATTATAAACTAATTAACTCAAAAATATAAACTATTAATTAGCTAAACTAATTAACTTAATATTTAAGTAAAATTAAAAAAAATTGAGATGATTTTTGAATATTCATAAAATGTACTAATTATATACACAACTATATAAAAACATACATATCATTCAAAAAAATTCATAAAAACAACAAAATTACATAAAAATATCTTGAAAATATTTTGAATTTTATAAAAACTAATTACTTTAAATCATTTGGAATTGAAGAAGCTCGATGATTAATCTATATGGTGAAGGGTCAAAATTGGGTGTCAACAACTAAACCTGATATAATTTTTGTTGTACGAAACCTTAGCCAGTATATGCATGAACCTAAGACATCCTATATGGAGGCTGAAAAAAGGGTGGTTAAATATGTCAATTAGTCTCTGCCTTCACCTAGCACCAATCAAATGATTGCCTATTGTGATTTTGACTGAGCCTCATATGCTAATACTATAAATTTCATCACGGGATATCTATCAATTTATGGAAGCACTTTGATTTCATGGAAGTTTAAGAAACACAACACTATCTCACACAATTCCGTAGAAGTTGAATATATAAGCTTAGCCTTTACATTGGATGAAATTGTATGGTTAGTTGGTCTCTAGATAAAAATTACTTCTCCAAAGTCAGACTTGGAGATGGAAGACTTGAGATGCAAAGGGTAAAGGAGCAATTCTTGTTCAAACTCCGTCAGGTATGAAGCTTATATCTGATGTATTATTTGTTCTTGAAATTAGCCAGAGTCTTCTCAGTGTTGGCCAATTATTTGATAGAAGTTATGACTTGCTATTTAAAGATAAAGTATATGAAATCATGGATCCAACTGGTATAAAATTGCTCTCAGTCAAAATGAATAACATAAGCTTCCCTCTTGATTGGAAACATACTGAGATTAGAGCTTATGTCAGCATGCAAGATAAAAGTTATGCCTCTCATAAAAGGCTTGGTCACACCAATTTTAAATATTTTAAAATGATGCAAAATAAGGAACTTCTGATAGATATGCCTTCCATAAATGAAACATCTAATGTATGTGGGGTTTGTCAAATTGGGAAGCTAAGTCAATCACCATTTCCTGTGAATCAAGCCCGAAGAGCTTCTGAAAAGATCCAACTAATACACACTAATGTGTGTGGACCTATAAGCACTCCTTCTTATAACGACAAAATATATTTTCTTTTGATCGATGACCTTACGAGGTTTTGTTGGGTTTACTTTCTGAAATATAAATCTGAATTCTGAAGTATTTGTTGTGTTTCAAAGGTTTAAAGAAACTGTTGAAAATCATTGTGGTTCTTTTATAAAAAATCTTAAGGTATGATAATGGGACTGAGTTCACTTCCTATCAATTCAATGATTTTCTTTGGAAATCAGAAATTCATCATCAACTTACAGTAACTTACACACCACAACAAAATGGTGCAAGTGAAAAAAAGTAGGTCTGTTATGAATATAGCTCGATGTCTTCTATTTGAGAGAGGCATGTCGAAGGTGCTATGGGTTAAAGCTATCAATATCACTGTCTATCTTTATAATAGATTGCCAACAAGAGCCATTGAAGGAAAGACTTTATACGAAGCATGGATTGGAACCAAGCAAGAAGATGATCATCTTAAGATATTTGGTTTTATCTGTTACTCTTATATTCCTAAAGTTAAAAGGTATAAAGTTGATAGAGTTGATGTTGAAATATTTGTGGGATACAACACCACTTTGAAAGGCTGTAGGATTTTAAATCCTATTTCAGAACAAATACATGTAAGTAGAAGTGTTAACTTTGATGAAAATGTTAGCATGTTACTGAAAAAGATGATTGTTTCTTATTTACAAATCACTAATCAAGAACGAAGTATCCAAGAAGAAGAGTTGATTCCAAAGGAAGAGGATTCTGATGATTTTGTAGTAAAATGTACCAGATCAATTGAAGATATATATATTGGAGCCAACAAGTGTAGACAATGCATTGCAAATTCATGAATTGGAGGCTTCCATGGAGGAGGAGATCAATATGATTAACAAGAATAATACATGGGTACATGTACCTAGTCTTCCTCACAAAAGGTTTTTGGAATTAGATGGGTGTTCAAGATTAAGTTAAATTCAGATAGCACACACCACAAGTACAAAGCAAGGCTGGTTGTAGAGGGTATACACAACATCATGGAATTGATTTTCATGAAACCTTTGCACTAGTTGCAAGGTTTGATACCATCAAGTTTCTTCTTGCAGTTGCAGCACACCAAGGGTGACAAGTATTTCAATTGGACGTTAAGTACACCTTTCTTAATGAATATCTTGAAGAGAGTTTATGTAGAGCATTCTTTGAGTTTTAGAGGAGCACGAGACATATATCTGTTAAGAAAAGCTCTGTATGGCTTAAAACAAGCACCTAAGACCTTGTATGCACGGATCCATAGCTACTTACTTAATTTGGGGTTCAAGATAAGTTACAATGAAACAAATGCCCTATAGAAACAAAGATTTGAGCTTCTTAGAGCGAAGTTTGGAGTATCCAACAACACTTCCATCAAGGGAAAGTGATGTCTTCATATTTTGTTGGAGCTTTTGGATTGTTTTGTTGTAAAGTTCTAGACTTCAGAAGATTACTGTAATTTTGTGGTAAGTTTTATTCAAGCTTAATATAAGAAAGCACGTTTCAGGATTTAAGGGATTTGACAAACCACTTTATGTATGTTTATACGGTGTAAAATTTTATTGTATGAACAAAATTAATCAACCCCACTTTCTTCACATTTCCTCTCTTTTCATGTTTGTTTTCTCTTTCCCTCCTTCAATACTTCATTTTCTAAGACCAAAATCGTGTGCAAGCCATAACGTACTTTATATGGGTTAAAACAATCTTATTGAGCATGGTTTGGTGGATTAATTAGCTTAAAATATGAAGAAGTATGGCTTCCAACAAAGTAATTTATAAGATACTTATTCCTAAAACACAATTTAATAATAAAAAATGAAAATGCTAACGATATACGTAGATAACATGATTCCTAAATTTTGTCCTAAAAACTGGATTTTTCAACGTGCATCTTGTTTAAGAAATGGAGAAGCAAGCAAGTACAAACTGTTTTTCCTTGATGCAACATTACCAAAGTTGACAGTCATATCCAGTTGTTGAGGACTAACTCCATTCACAAGTTTCCAATCAAAATGGCAAAGTAACTGAGCTAGACATAACTCCATGCTTGTCATACTAAAGTTTATGCCTGGACAAATTCTTCTACCAGCTCCAAATGGTATGAATTGAAAATGATTTCCACTAACATCAAGTGGACTTTCATTGAATCTCTCTGGCTCAAATTTCTCAGCTTCTTCCCAATATTCTGAATCCCTCCCAAGTGCCCACATATTCACAATACCTATTATATGCCAAGTGCACCAATTAGTTGGGATTAAAGTGGTAAACTGACTATATCTGTTATTATATTCTTAATTAATGTGTCAAGTAAAAAATGGACAAATAATATATGTACAGAGGGAGTATTAATTAGGATATAATTTTAACTATTTTATACTATACTTGGTATTTGAATGATTCTCTCTTTGTTCACTTTTACTTGTACCCTATTGACATGACTATTTTATAACATTACACTATCAATTAATGTTTAGTATTGAATTTTTAAAAATGATTTAAAAATAAGTAATTAATACTCGGGGTAAAACATGGAAAAAAATAGTAAAAGTGACAGACAGAAACAATGATAACATAACCTCATAATTAATGTGTTTTGTACTCTCATAAAAAAAATTATTACTCAGAAATAAATGGGAAAATATCAATTTTGTTTTGCACTTCAAAACGAAAAGTAATTTGAGATAAGTATATAAAGAAAGTATAGGAGCATGTTACCTATTGTTTTATTTGGTATAGTGTATCCATTAATGTGGCATTGTTGTCTGGATTCTCTTGGAATTGATAAGGGTCCTGGAGGGTGAAATCTTAGGGTTTCTTTAATAACCATTTTGAGGTATTTTAGTTTTTTAAGATCTGTTTGATCAATTGTTGTCTTTCCATTGAAGGCTTCTCTAACTTCAGCTTGTGCTTTTTCCATCATGCTTGGATTCTTCAACAGTTCTGACATTACCCACTCTAATACTGTTGATGATGTTGCACTTCCAGCCACAAACATGTCCTGCACATCACACATAATCCAACCACCTAAAAAATACATCTAAAGATTCGAGAAGCTAATTTGAACGAGTATCCAACTTTTAATTTATTATATTAAAGTCGTATGTAAGAATTTTTCTTCGTTTAAAAAAGAATGATCTTATTTCTTTTTTAATCTGTTTAAAAAAGGATGACCTATTTCTTTACTTAATAACATTTTAATTTCAGTTTTCCACGTGACATGTTTAAGGTCACAAAATTAAATGGCATTTTAATACATTTGATATAACTTTAATTTAATACCACAAAATTAAAAAGTCTTATTTCTTTTCTTAAACTCCGTTCCAAATCAAAATAAATAATTTTTTTTGAAACAGAGGGAGTATGTAGTTGAAGAAATGAAAGAGGAAAGATTGATGCCCTTACCAGTATTATGGCTTTGATATTATTTCTTGTGATAGGAATCTGAAATTCGTTGTTGTTTTGAAGTCTCAGAAGAACGTCCACCAGATCTTCTCCTATATGTTCTGTTGCTAATTGCTCTGTTTCATGTTCATTGATGATTCTTTCGAGAACAGGATCGACTTGACGATGCAATTGAAGTAATTTTCTGTTTGTCCCACTAATAAAATGAAGAATCTTCAAGGAGGGGAACAAATCTACAACATTAAAAACTCCAGCAAAAGATGCAACTTGTTTCATTAACATAATCACAGATTCTTGATCCTTGCAAGTCCTCCCAATTGAAGCTCTACAAATTATTGCACTTGTTAGTAAATACATCTTTTCACTAATATTAATTGGTCTTTCAGACATGGCCTTAATTGAATTAACAAGAAGATAAGTTTCATCAACAATCATAGGAAAGAATGATGTAATATTTTTGGTACTAAGAAGTTCCATTACACAAATCTTTCTTATTTGTTTCCACTAATCACCATATGGAGAAAAAGCAATGTCCTGACAATCGTAGAACATTATTTTCGCAACGCTAAGTCGTTGCCTATTAGCAAAGGTGAGGTCGTGAGTTTTCATCATTTCTTTAGCTAATTGAGGCGATGAAATGACTATTGCTGAACGTTGGCCTAGTTTAAGGTGCATGAGGGGACCATGTTTGGTTGCTAAATTTGCTAGTGATATATGGGGTAAGCTGCCCATCTGATGAAGGTTTCCTATAATTGGCAACTTCCATGGACCTGGAGCCAATTTTTGGTAAGGATTTGATATTTTGTAATACTTTATGATAAGAATGACTAGTATGGGTAAGAAGAGAAGAAGGGAACTTGTAAATAACATAGAAACCTCAATTCCCATGGCTTATTTTATAAAATAAAATGTGATGGTGTTTTGAAAATGATCATATTTCTCTACTATTATTATTATCACTTTATCACTATATAAGAAGAGTGAGTAACCACACGCGTCTCCGTCAACACGTGTGCGCATAGTATACAAGTTAGTTTGGGTGGCACGAAATGAACATAACCGCAACAAAGGGGTAGACTTTAAACAACATAGTCTGACTGCCATCATAGATTCATTTCCGATAATATAGTGAAATTTTATATTAATATGACTTTTGAAGCTTAGATCTTATTTAATTGTTAATATAGTGAAAGTTTAGATTTTATTTAATTGTTATAAATAAAAGTATATAGATAATACACTTAACAATTTTCTGTATAAAAAAGAAATAATATATTTATTAATTAATTATTTTTTTAAAATAAAAGTAGAATGAATATAAAGAAAAACAAATATCAATAGTCTTTCCTTGTGAAGTCATCAAATAATAGATAGGCCACATTTAAATACAATGTTTTCCTTTTAGATATTCATGTTTTGAAATTTTATTATATGCATTACATAATATTAATGATGATTATCATAAATGATATAATATTTTATTTTTATAGGGAATATATTTCTTACAAAATGCTATAACACAATATTTGATTGTGATTGTTATAAGGGGTTATAATGAATATATTTTTTCTCTTATTATATAAGAGGGAGTTTATGATGGGACATTGTGATGTCCAATCATAAACTCCCTATATAATATATAATATATAATATAATAAATCATTTTTTCTACTATATAATATATATTTATTTTTCTACTATAAGGGAGTTTATATAATATATAATAATGTAATATAATAAATCATTTACAAATGACTTGAAATATTTCATATTTAAAGAATATATAATAAAATAGGTTCACTCTCAAAATTCTATCCGGGTCACATATATTGGGACAAAAAAAATAACATATATCATTTTAAAATTACCAAAAAAGTATTATAAATAATAATAATTAACAACTTAAAATATCTTAAAGACATTTTAAAAGGGTTAATTTTGTAATTGTAATTTCTACTATATAATAAAAGGGAGTTTATATAATATATATTCTACTATTATATAATATCATAATAAAACCCCTTTTATTATATAGTAGAAATAAATATAATATATATATATATATAATATAATATATAATAATATAATATAATAAATCATTTACAAATGACTTAAAATATTTAATATTTAAAAGATATATAATAAAATAGGTTGACTCTCAAAATTCTATCCAGGTCACATATATTGGGACAGAAAAAATAACATATATCATTTCAAAATTACCAAAAAAGTATTATAAATAATAATAATTAACAACTTAAAATATCTTAAAGACATTTTAAAAGGGTTAATTTTGTAAGTTTATCCATATCACATAAATTAGGACAAAGTGACCAGCAATGTAAGTTATTTGAAAGTTACATAAAAATATTATAAATCACAATAATTAATAACTTAGAACATTTTTTTTTAAATGCAAATTTGGATGACTCTTCAAATTTCATTTGTGTCACATAAATTGAGACAACAAAAATAACATATATTGCGCCCATTTTAATTTATTTGTCTTAATTTTTTTTTATATTTAAAAATTGCGTAAAAATACTATAAATCATGATAATTGACAACATAAAATATTTCAAAAATAAATACATATAATAAAGTTCGATTAATTCTTGAAATTAATCTATCGTTAAAAATTATCTATAAAATACAATAAATCGTGATTTTGACCACTTAAAATATTTATTAAAAAAACAGAAAAAATAAATTGACTAATTCTTAAAATTAATCTATCAATGTCACATAAAATGAGACAAAAGTAGTAATATGTATTGTTTAATGTCAAATTATTGAAAACTACGTAAAATGTATTATAAATGTTAACAATTAACAACATTTGATTGAATCTTGAAATTTTATCAATGCTACATACATTGAGACAAGTGGAGTAATATATATTAAGTATTTAAAAATTACGTACAACCATATTGCTTTCTGTAGGCTTCGAATTATCGTGGTCATTTTTTAGGCTGATACAAGTTTTGTACTTTTTTTTTAATATTATAAATCGCAATAATTAATAATTTAAAATATTTTAAAATATATATTAAAAATTTAGTTGGTTTCGGGAATTTTATTTATACTATATAAAATGGGACAAAGGAAGCAACATATATCATTTACAAATGACTTAAAAAGCATTAAAAATTAGAATAATTACCAATTTAAAATATTTAAAAGCTATATAATAAAATAGGTTCACTCAGAATTCTTTCAGGCTCACATATATTAGGACAGAAAAAATAACACATATCATTTTAAAATTACCAAAAAAGTATTATAAATAATAATAATTAACAGCTTAAAATATCTGAAAGACATTTTAAAAGGGTTAATTTTGTATTTTTATCCATATCACATAAATTAGGACAAAGTGACCAGTAATGTTGGTTATTTGAAAGTTACATCAAAATATTATAAATCACAATAATTAATAACTTAAAACATTTTTTTAAAAAAAATTAAAATTTGGATGACTCTCCAAATTTTATTTGTGTGACATAAATTGAGACAACAAAAATAACATATATTGGGTCCATTTTAATTTATTTGTCTTATTTTTTTTGGGTTTTTTATATTTAAAAAATGCGTAAAAATATTATAAATCATGATAATTGACAACATAAAATATGTTTTGAAAAAAAAATAGAAAAAATTCCACTCATTCTTGAAGTGAATCTATCGTAAAAATACTATAAATCATGATAATTGACAACATAAAATATTTCAAAAATGTTGTATGTGGATAGTCTTATTGTGCCTTGAATAGCGTCAAATAAAGTACAAGTTTGTGATAAAAAAAACTTATTCCTTTATCCACGCAAACAATCGCTTCAAAATCTCCGTTATTAGCCCCAAAACATACCATTTATATTATTGGGCCCGTGCCCATGCATAGCACGGGCAACATTACCTAGTTACTATATATTAGAAGAGTCTAGGATTACTACCATTGTTCCAATAAAATCATTACAAATGTCCAATATTTACTATATAAAATATATAAGTGGGCCCCACCATAATAATAATAATAATAATAATTATTATTATTATTAGTATTATTAGTATATATGTATTATTATTATTATTATTATTATTATTATTATTATATGTGTTTTTCAGAAAACGTGGGTAGTTTTTTCTATGAGGAGTATTTTTTATTTTTTGAAAGAAAAAACAGAGTTTTTATTTAGTCCCCCCCGCCCCCGCAACCCAAAAAAAAAAATGAATAACACACTCTATACTTTTTAGAATTGTTTCCAAAGGACGTGGGTTGTCATTATTTTTTTTAAAAAAAATTTTTAATCAATTTTTATTTATCTATATTTAATTATTTTTAAAAAAACTCAAAATTCAAGAATGTAACTATTCATTTTAACGTTGTTATCTTCTAAAATAGTAACTTCTTTTCTTTATTTAAAAACAAATTATTATATTTGATTAGTTGATAATTTAAAATTTAAAAATTAGCAATTAATTGTGAAGAGTCTAGGATTTATTACCATTGTTCCAATAAAATCATTACAAATGTCCAATATTTACTATATAAAATATATAAGTGGGCCCCACCATAATAATAATAATAATAATTATTATTATTATTATTATTATTATTATTATTATTATTATTATTATTATTATTATTATTATTATTATTATATGTGTTTTTCAGAAAACGTGGGTAGTTTTTTCTATGAGGAGTATTTTTTATTTTTTGAAAGAAAAAACAGAGTTTTTATTTAGTCCCCCCCCCCCCGCCCCCGCAACCCAAAAAAAAAAATGAATAACACACTCTATACTTTTTAGAATTGTTTCCAAAGGACGTGGGTTGTCATTATTTTTTAAAAAAAAAATTTTTAATCAATTTTTATTTATCTATATTTAATTATTTTTAAAAAAACTCAAAATTCAAGAATGTAAGTATTCATTTTAACGTTGTTATCTTCTAAAATAATAACTTTTTTTCTTTATTTAAAAACAAATTATTATATTTGATTAGTTGATAATTTAAAATTTAAAAATTAGCAATTAATTGTGGCACTGACACGTAGGCGTTGTCACCTCTCCTATATTAGAAGAGTCTAGGATTTACTATCATTGTTCCAATAAAATCATTACAAATGTCCAATACTTACTATATAAAATATATATGTGGGCCCCACCACCTTCCACTTAAATACTACATATTATATATTATTAATTACTATACTATAAATCACTACTAATATCCAATATATTTATCAAACTATATAAATGGGCCCCATCACCTTCCACTTAAATACTACATATTATATATTAATTACTATACTATAAATGACTTAAATACTCCATATTATCTATTACAATAATTAACAATTATTTGACACTTTAAATTCTATCAATGCCAT